GGGTTGGTGATGATGATGTGTAGACTGAGGTTGGTGGTTGTGATGTGAAGACTGGGGTTTGTGGTGGTGATGTGCAGACTGGGGTTGGAGGTGATGTGTAGACAGGGGTTGGTGGTGGTGATGTGTAGACTGTGGTTGCTGGTGAGGTGTAGACTGGGGTTGGTGGTGATGTGTAGACTGGGGTTGGTGATGATGTGTAGATTGGGGTTGGTGGTTGTGATGTGTAGACTGGGGTTGGTGGTTGTGATGTGTAGACTGGGGTTGGTGGTGGTGATGTGTAGACTGGGGTTGGTGGTGGTGAGGTGTAGACTGGGGTTGGTGGTTGTGATGTGTAGACTGGGGTTGGTGGTGGTGATGTGTAGACTGGGGTTGGTGATGATGATGTGTAGACTGGGGTTGGTGGTTGTGATGTGTAGACTGGGGTTTGTGGTGGTGATGTGTAGACTGGGGTTGGTGGTGGTGATGTGTAGACTGGGGTTGGTGGTGATGATGTGTAGACTGGGGTTGGTGGTGATGATGTGTAGACTGGGGTTGGTGGTGATGATGTGTAGACTGGGGTCGGTGGTGATGATGTGTAGACTGGGGTTGGTGGTGAGGTGTAGACTGGGGTTGGTGGTGGTGATGTGTAGACTGGGGTTGGTGGTGGTGATGTGTAGACTGGGGTTGGTGGTGATGATGTTTAAACTGGGGTTGGTGGTGATGATGTGTAGACTGGGGTTGGTGGTGGTGAGGTGTAGGCTGGGGTTGGTGGTGATGTTTAAACTGGGGTTGGTGTTGATGATGCGTAGACTGGGGTTGGTGGTGGTGATGTGTAGACTGGGGTTGGTGGTTGTGATGTGTAGACTGGGGTTGGTGGTGATGATGTGTAGACTGGGGTTGGTGGTGATGATGTGTAGACTGGGGTTGGTGGTGATGATGTGTAGACTGGGGTTGGTGGTGATGATGTGTAGACTGGGGTTGGTGGTGATGATGTGTAGACTGGGGTTGGTGGTGAGGTGTAGACTGGGGTTGGTGGTGGTGATGTGTAGACTGGGGTTGGTGGTGGTGATGTGTAGACTGGGGTTGGTGGTGATGATGTTTAAACTGGGGTTGGTGGTGATGATGTGTAGACTGGGGTTGGTGGTGGTGATGTGTAGGCTGGGGTTGGTGGTGATGTTTAAACTGGGGTTGGTGTTGATGATGCGTAGACTGGGGTTGGTGGTGGTGATGTGTAGACTGGGGTTGGTGGTTGTGATGTGTAGACTGGGGTTGGTGGTGATGATGTGTAGACTGGGGTTGGTGGTGATGATATGTAGACTGGGGTTGGTGGTGATGATGTGTAGACTGGGGTTGGTGGTGATGATGTGTAGACTGGGGTTGGTTGTGATGATGTGTAGACTGGGGTTGGTGGTGATGATGTGTAGACTGGGGTTGGTGGTGGTGATGTGTAGACTGGGGTTGGTGTTGATGATGTGTAGACTGAGGTTGGTGGTGGTGATGTGTAGACTGGGGTTGGTGGTTGTGATGTGTAGACTGGGGTTGGTGTTGATGATGTGTAGACTGAGGTTGGTGGTTGTGATGTGTAGACTGGGGTTGGTGGTGATGATGTGTAGACTGAGGTTGGTGGTGATGTTTAAACTGGGGTTGGTGTTGATGATGTGTAGACTGAGGTTGGTGGTGGTGATGTGTAGACTGGGGTTGGTGGTTGTGATGTGTAGACTGGGGTTGGTGGTGATGTTTAAACTGGGGTTGGTGTTGATGATGTGTAGACTGGGGTTGGTGGGGATGTTTAAACTGGGGTTGGTGTTGATGAGGTGCAGACTGGGATTGGTGGTTATGATGTGTAGACTGGGGTTGGTGGTGATGATGTGTAGACTGGGGTTGGTGGTTGTGATGTGTAGACTGGGGTTGGTGGTTGTGATGAGTAGAATGGGGTTGGTGGTGTTGATGTGTAGACTGGGGTTGGTGATGATGTGTAGACTAGGGTTGGTGGTTGTGATGTGTAGACTGGGATTGGTGGTTATGAGTAGACTGGGATTGTTGTTGATGTTTAAACTGGCATTGTTGTTGATGATGTGTAGACTCGGGTTGGTGATGATGTGTAGACTGGGGTTGGTGGTGATGATTTGTAGACTAGGGTTGGTGGTTGTGATGTGTAGACTGGGGTTGGTGGTGATGATGTGTAGACTGGGGTTGGTGGTGATGATGTGTAGACTGGGGTTGGTGGTGATGATGTGTAGACTGGGGTTGGTTGTGATGATGTGTAGACTGGGGTTGGTGGTGATGATGTGTAGACTGGGGTTGGTTGTGATGATGTATAGACTGGGGTTGGTGGTGATGATGTGTAGACTGGGGTTGGTGGTGGTGATGTGTAGACTGGGATTGGTGTTGATGATGTGTAGACTGAGCTTGGTGGTGGTGATGTGTAGACTGGGGTTGGTGGTTGTGATGTGTAGACTGGGGTTGGTGTTGATGATGTTTAGACTGAGGTTGGTGGTTGTGATGTGTAGACTGGGGTTGGTGGTGATGATGTGTAGACTGAGGTTGGTGGTGATGTTTAAACTGGGGTTGGTGTTGATGATGTGTAGACTGAGGTTGGTGGTGGTGATGCGTAGACTGGGGTTGGTGGTTGTGATGTGTAGACTGGGGTTGGTGGTGATGTTTAAACTGGGGTTGGTGTTGATGATGTGTAGACTGGGGTTGGTGGGGATGTTTAAACTGGGGTTGGTGTTGATGAGGTGCAGACTGGGGTTGGTGGTGATGATGTGTAGACTGGTTTTGGTGGTGATGTGTAGACTGGGATTGTTGATGATGTTTAAACTGGCATTGTTGTTGATGATGTGTAGACTCGGGTTGGTGATGATGTGTAGACTGGGGTTGGTGGTGATGATGTGTAGACTGGGGTTGGTGGTTGTGATGTGTAGACTGGGGTTGGTGGTGATGATGTGTAGACCGGGGTTGGTGGTGATGATGTGTAGACTGTGGTTGCTGGTGAGGTGTAGACTGGGGTTGGTGGTGATGTGTAGACTGGGGTTGGTGGTTGTGATGTGTAGACTGGGGTTGGTGGTTGTGATGTGTAGACTGGGGTTGGTGGTGATGATGTGTAGACTGGGGTTGGTGGTTATGATGTGTAGACTGGGGTTGGTGGTGGTGATGTGTAGACTGGGGTTGGTGGTGGTGATGTGTAGACTGGGGTTGGTGGTGGTGATGTGTAGACTGGGGTTGGTGGTGATGATGTGTAGACTGGGGTTAGTGGTGGTGATGTGTAGACTGGGGTTAGTGGTGGTGATGTGTAGACTGGGGTTAGTGGTGGTGATGTGTAGACTGGGGTTGGTGGTGGTGATGTGAAGATTGGGGTTGGTGGTGAGGTGTAGACTGGGGTTGGTGATGATGTGTAGACTGGGGTTGGTGGTGGTGATGTGTAGACTGGGGTTGGTGGTTGTGATGTGTAGATTGGGGTTAGTGGTGATGATGTGTAGACTGGGGTTGGTGGTGGTGATGTGTAGACTGGGGTTGGTGGTGGTGATGTGTAGACTGGGGTTGGTGGTTGTGATGTGTAGACTGGGGTTAGTGGTGGTGATGTGTAGACTGGGGTTGGTGGTGGTGATGTGTAGACTGGGGTTGGTGGTTGTGATGTGTAGACTGGGGTTAGTGGTGGTGACGTGCAGATTGGGGTTGGTGGTGATGATGTGTAGACTGGGGTTGGTGGTGGTGGTGATTTGTAGACTGGGGTTGGTGGTGATGTGTAGATTGGGGTTAGTGGTGGTGATGATGTGTAGACTGGGGTTAGTGGTGGTGATGTGCAGACTGGGGTTGGAGGTGATGTGTAGACAGGGGTTGGTGGTGATGATGTGTAGACTGTGGTTGCTGGTGAGGTGTAGACTGGGGTTGGTGGTGATGTGTAGACTGGGGTTGGTGATGATGTGTAGATTGGGGTTGGTGGTTGTGATGTGTAGACTGGGGTTGGTGGTGATGATGTGTAGACTGGGGTTGGTGGTGGTGATGTGTAGACTGGGGTTGGTGGTTGTGATGTGTAGACTGGGGTTGGTTGTGATGTTTGAACTGGGGTTGGTGTTGATGATGTGTAGACTGGGGTTGGTGGTGGTGATGTGTAGACTGGGGTTGGTGGTGGTGGTGATGTGTAGACTGGGGTTGGTGGTGATGTTTAAACTTGGGTTGGTGTTGATGATGTGTAGACTGAGGTTGGTGTTGGTGATGTGTAGACTGGGGTTGGTGGTTGTGATGTGTAGACTGGGGTTGGTGGTGATGATGTGTAGACTGGGGTTGGTGGGGATGTTTAAACTGGGGTTGGTGTTGATGAGGTGCAGACTGGGATTGGTGGTTATGATGTGTAGACTGGGGTTGGTGGTGATGATGTGTAGACTGGGGTTGGTGGTTGTGATGTGTAGACTGTGGTTGCTGGTGATGTGTAGACTGGGGTTGGTGGTGTTGGTGATGTGTAGACTGGTGTTGGTGGTGGTGATGTGTAGACAGGTTGCTGGTGATGATGTGTAGACTGGGTTTGGAGTTGATGTGTAGACAGGTGTTGGTGGTGATGATGTGTAGACTGGGGTTGGTGGTTGTGATGTGTAGACTGGGAATGATGGTGATGATGTGTAGACTGGGGTTGCTGATGATGATGTGTAGACTGGGTTTGGAGTTGATGTGTAGACTGGGGTTGGTGGTGATGATGTGTAGACTGGGGTTGGTGGTGATGATGTGTAGACTGGGGTTGATGGTGATGATGTGTAGACTGGGGTTGATGGTGATGATGTGTAGCCTGGGGTTGATGGTGATGATGTGTAGACTGGGGTTGGTGGTTGTGATGTGTAGACTGGTGTTGGTGGTGATGATGTGTAGACTGGGGTTGCTGGTGATGATGTGTAGACTGGGTTTGGAGTTGATGTGTAGACTGGGGTTGGTGGTGATGATGTGTAGACTGGGGTTGGTGGTGATGATGTGTAGACTGGGGTTGATGGTGATGATGTGTAGACTGGGGTTGATGGTGATGATGTGTAGACTGGGGTTGATGGTGATGATGTGTAGCCTGGGGTTGGTGGTTGTGATGTGTAGACTGGGGTTGATGGTGATGATGTGTTGACTGGGGTTGGTGGTGACGATGTGTAGACTTGAGCTGGTGATGATGATGTGTAGACTTTGGTTGGTGGTGATGTGTAGACTGGTGTTGGTGATGCTGATATGTAGACTGGGGTTGGTGGTGATTATGTGTAGACTGGGTTTGGTGATGATGTGTAGACTGGGGTTGGTGATGATGTGTAGATTGGGGTTGGTGGTTGTGATGTGTAGACTGGGGTTGGTGATGATGATGTATAGACTGGGGTTGATGGTGATGATGTGTAGACTTGAGCTGGTGATGATGATGTGTAGACTTTGGTTGGTGGTGATGTGTAGACTGGGTTTGGTGGTGATGTGTAGACTGGTGTTGGTGATGCTGATATGTAGACTGGGGTTGGTGGTGATTATGTGTAGACTGGGTTTGGTGATGATGTGTAGACTGGGGTTGGTGGTGATGATGTGTAGACTGGGGTTGGTGGTGATGATGTGTAGACTTGGGTTGGTGGTGATGTGTAGACTGGGGTTGGTGATGACGATGTGTAGACTGGGGTTGGTGGTGATGTGCAGATTGGGGTTGGTGATGATGTCTAGACTCGGGTTGATTGTTTTACATGAAACTACATGCTTGTGTATAGCGTGGAATATCGTATAGTTATATCATAGATATGTTGCGTGATACACAACCAGAGCTGTTATATGATCTGCTGTACATGCGCCTACACACTCAAGAGTCAGGCGTTCACAACACTGAGGTTCTTTGAAGGGCGGAAACCAGACACATATTTCATGTATTGAGGTGAAACTCAAGTGGTTGATCTCGGGGCATGCAGACTCGTGTTCTTGGTTGAGGTTACATCTGAAGTTTTGACGGGATGGGAGTTATTAACTCCATACATGTACATAGTGTGATGAGATCAAATGTATGAACAACAGAAATATGGATGTTTGTGACCGGAAATAATGCTGTTTAATGAGGGTAATTAAGAACTGACCCGTGTGCACACTTTGTAAATCCGCGTGTTTGTAGACGGGGGTTGTGGGGATGTATAGACATGTCTTTGATACCTACATGTAACATCGTGTGACATTGTCTGATGTCTATGTAGCATTGTGTAACATTGCATCGACATGTATATAGGTTGTGAGACATTGTCTGATGTCCATGTAACGTTGTGTGACATTGTCTGATATGTACGTAACGTTGTGTGACATTGTCTGATGTGTATGTAACGTTGTGTGACATTGTCTGATGTGTATGTAACGTTGTGTGAAATTGTCTGATGTGCATGTAACGTTGTGACATTGTCTGATGTGTATGTAACGTTGTGTGAAATTGTCTGATGTGTATGTAACGTTGTGATATTGTCTGTGTATGTACCGTTGTGAGCCTTTGTCTGATGTGTATGTAACGTTGTGTGACATTGTCTGATGTGTATGTAACGTTGTGACATTGTCTGATGTATATGTAACGTTGTGTGACATTGTCTGGTGTGCATGTAGCGTTGTGTGGCATTGTCTGATGTGTATGTAACGTTGTGTGACATTGTCTGATGTGTATGTAACGTTGTGATATTGTCTGATGTGTATGTAACGTTGTGTGACATTGTCTGGTGTGCATGTAGCGTTGTGTGACATTGTCTAATATGTATGTAACGTCGTGCGCCATTGTCAGATGTGTACGTAACGTTGTGTGACACTGTCTGATATGTATGTAACGTTGTGTGACATTGTCTGATGTGTATGTAACGTTGTGTGACATTGTCTGGTGTGCATGTAGCGTTGTGTGGCATTGTCTGATATGTATGTAACGTCGTGCGCCATTGTCAGATGTGTACGTAACGTTGTGTGACATAGTCTTATGTGTATGTAGCGTTGTGTGACACTGTCTGATATGTATGTAACGTTGTGTGACATTGTCTGGTGTGTATGTAACGTTGTGATATTGTCTGATGTGTATGTAACGTCGTGACATTGTCTGATATGTATGTAACGTTGTGACATTGTCTGATGTGTATGTAACGTTGTGATATTGTCTGTGTATGTACCGTTGTGCGCCATTGTCTGATGTGCATGTACCGTTGTGCGCCTTTGTCTGATGTGTATGTAACGTTGTGTGACAATGTCTGATGTGTATGTAACGTTGTGACATTGTCTGATGTATATGTAACGTTGTGTGACATTGTCTGGTGTGTATGTAACGTTGTGTGACATTGTCTGATGTGTATGTAACGTTGTGACATTGTCTGATGTATATGTAACGTTGTGTGACATTGTCTGGTGTGTATGTAACGTTGTGTTACATTGTCTGGTGTATATGTAACGTTGTGTGACATTGTCTGATGTATATGTAACGTCGTGACATTGTCTGATATGTATGTAACGTTGTGTGACATTGTCTGGTGTGTATGTAACGTTGTGTGACATTGTCTGGTGTGTATGTAACGTTGTGTGACATTGTCTGGTGTGTATGTAGCGTTGTGTGACACTGTCTGATATGTATGTAACGTTGTGTGACATTGTCTGGTGTGTATGTAACGTTGTGTGACATTGTCTGGTGTGTATGTAACGTTGTGATATTGTCTGTGTATGTACCGTTGTGCGCCATTGTCTGATGTGTATGTAACATTGTGATATTGTCTGATGTGTATGTAACGTTGTGATATTGTCTGTGTATGTACCGTTGTGCGCCTTTGTCTGATGTGTATGTAACGTTGTGTGACATTGTCTGGTGTGTATGTAACATTGTGATATTGTCTGATGTGTATGTAACGTCGTGACATTGTCTGATATGTATGTAACGTTGTGACATTGTCTGATGTGTATGTAACGTTGTGATATTGTCTGTGTATGTACCGTTGTGCGCCATTGTCTGATGTGCATGTACCGTTGTGCGCCTTTGTCTGATGTGTATGTAACGTTGTGTGACATTGTCTGATGTGTATGTAACGTTGTGACATTGTCTGATGTATATGTAACGTTGTGTGACATTGTCTGGTGTGTATGTAACGTTGTGTGACATTGTCTGATGTGTATGTAACGTTGTGTGACATTGTCTGATATGTATGTAACGTTGTGACATTGTCTGATGTGTATGTAACGTTGTGATATTGTCTGTGTATGTACCGTTGTGCGCCATTGTCTGATGTGTATGTAACGTTGTGTGACATTGTCTGATGTGTATGTAACGCTGTGACACATTGTCTAATGTGTATGTAACATTGTGTGACATTGTCTGACGTGTATAAGTAACATTGTGCGACATTGTCTGCTATGTATGTAACGCTGTATGACATAGTCACTTACGTGTAGTATGTACCGTTATTTGAGATGTGAACAGTCGCCAAGTGACTGACCACGGTCCGCCGACAGCCGCCCACTGTATCTGTAATAATAGCATGGTGACATTTGGAGGAGTTCCACCCACAACGGCTGCAGTGTCAAAGATAATGACGCATATAGCTTTAGGGAAAGAAGCCCGAGCTCATGTCATATTCATAGCATCTTATAAAACTAAAGATGAAGATATGTCGAACCTACATTATTTTATGATTTAATGGCACCAATTAATGAAACAATGTTTTTCATGAACGCTCGTGAAACTCCATTTATAGATTATCTTTACGTTGACTTACATGTCATCATCTAAAACACGCTTATTCATAGGAACAACGATATGATTACAGATGGGTCCAGAATTGAAAGCGTGCTGTTTTAGTCGACCTGTCTCAACGCTGGGACTGACCTCATTTCTAAACTTCAGCGAATGCTATATTCAAAGTTATATAAACCTACCTCATTCTTTGCCAAGCTTTAAACATTTTATAATTACATGACTTATAAATGCCAAAACGTACCACTTGCAGCAAAATGCAGTAGCGATTATTGTGCTCTTTAAACACATAAGCGGTCGAGCTGTACATAACGGTATCAAGCGCGTACGGCGTATGAATCATCACTGCAACCGTGTCTTCCTTTATTGGTACGACTGTGCTGTTGTGACCGGCGCTAACTGCGAGGAGCGACGCAGTCGGAGCTCGGCCTAAATCGATTTGCTAGTCAACAAGCAGCCTCCAGTCGGCAATCGCTGCCTCGTATGAGCTCACTTGTGACACTATCTAACGCTGAGGTTTTGAAAATAACTTTGCAGCCAAACAGTGATCATTTCTGTGCAAAGAAATGCAGAGTTATTATTTGCTACAGAAAAACAAGTAATGAACGTTAAGTAGTTCAAACAATATATTTTACATATTTTAGGAAACAATTATCTTTCTTTACGAAAAGTGTTGGGTTTTTTTAAGTATGAATATCGTAATGACAAAGGGCCTGGCAGACAAGATGCATTTATTATGTCTGGGATACAGTTTGTTGCTGAAAATGCATGGTGTAATTTTAACAACACAGTTTAACATTTAGATATGCTCTCTCTCTTTCTCTCTCTCGTAAATGTCATGTACTTAGAACAATATGTTTTAATTTCAAACGACAACGTATATCACACGTACATCTGCAGTTTACAGGTTATTCATTTGAAATCCAACAGTACTTGCAATAAGTGACAGGTTTTCTTTTGAATACCCACAGTACTTGTATCAAGTGAAAAAGTGGGAACGCAAATAACAACCTGGCCGGTCCTACATACGTCACAACAACGTAGAACGCAGTAACTCCCAAGACATCAGCGTGCTGGTTTTACTGTGGTGCTGCACAGACTACGAAAGATTGATGGAAGAATATCCCATAGTCTACAACAGTCTTATGTCTCCGTCATTCCTACTCTCGATACCCTCTACCTTGCAAGCTGTCCTCCATACATACCTTGTGTTGATTAGTATATATGTTGTATAAAGCCCTATTTTCTTCAACAATTGGCCCTACATATAAGTATAGATTTTCAATACTAACAGATCACCTCGCATCCACACATATCCTACCAACATTTAAAATCAGAACATGAAATCGTTGAAAAACCTGTGATTCATTTTTACCTATCTCTTATCTCGTAACTTACAAAAGTCGTGATAAATAACTGCTTTGATCATATCAACTCTTGCCGAGATGCTTATGCAAAACATGATCTTGTTATTTTGTGTACGCTTGTAGGTAAACTAAACTCATTAAGTTCTCTGCGTGTTTATTAACTTCAAAGTGAATCATGTTGCAAGCCTATCCCACTGAAAATAACAACCCTGTTTGCTTGCCGCCTCGAACAAGGACAGGTTGTTTGTCAGAGCTGTTTGCGACCCGGCTCCTGGAAACAGCTTCCGGTTGTACGGGCTTACGGAAACTCGCCTTGTCGTTGATAGAAATGATCATTAATAAAATGAAATAATTTCTTCAAAAAATGTATGCCATAATTATCTAAATATTTAGTTGATATTATAATTATATCACTTATATGCAGTTATTGGGGGTTGTTTTTCTAGCCAATCGCTGAAATGCCGCCTCGTACGAAGGGTTTGACGTCAGCTGCACTTGGAGCTTGACCATGTTCGGGGAAAACCTGTCGACTGACGCGGAAGATTTCACTTTGTGTCTCACGCCAGGAAAGTATGGAGTTGAGGTTGGAAGAGAGCTGACGATTATTTCTCGGAATATTCTTACTCTTGTTCAGTCCAGCTGGGCGTGAAAGTTTGAACCTTCAAACTTTCTCCACTCGAAAGTCGGCGAGGTGAGTTGACCCAACAGTTGAAACAACGCACCCAGTACTATTTAGGTCAACCATGTCAGATATGTTTCGCGTTTCATTTGCAATCGCGGTACTTGTTTCACTTCTTTGCGTCAGTATAATGTTAACCTATTCTTATTGTAACCACTTTCATTCACTTGTTACGTAGTATCGACCACTAAAGGTTTGTTTCTCTTGTGTTTACGAAACTGATTTGAATGTGGCTTCTCGCCATTTTCTTATCACCATTCACTGACCGGGCGAGCTCGGTTGACCCGGGTCACTGAGAATTCGGCGATTATCATCTCTTGTTGCGCTTACATATTAACACTACAGAGTTTGGTGCCATTTTCCGCTTACTTTATTGCTTCTCCCTACATTCATAGTGAATCGAGAGCTTTTTGAACATTTGCCAAGTCGAGTTTTCTCGATGTAGCCGAGCACGGCTTGTCTGATTCATACGGCGCGCCAGTTGGGCCGAGGGACTTGATGCATGAGTGAATCAGTGCGAATAGGACGACGATGTAAAGGAAGTCTTCAGCATAATACCGTTATTTCGTGATGCTCAATATTATCGTTTAGATGTAGTTTTTCCCACCCGACTTCCTTGTTGTAGCATAGTTTGCGTGTTGTGGTCCACACTTGGATCTTTTTCTAGACAAACCTGTGTTTTCAGTCGCTGTCTGAAGCCATGACAAGAGGCCTACTCTCACCGCTCGCCACTTGTCAAGTTCGTGCCCCGGTCTTGACACCATGGACGGTCCCCGGGTATAACCAGGGACCTAAACTCAAACTCCTAGTCCTCTACAACTGTGATACTTTGGTAAATTAGATCAAGAAAAATAATAAATTCTTTTAAACTAATTAAACTTTTACCAACAATAGAAAATATCAAGATCTAGGCATTCTTAATGTTATTCATTCATGATCTAAAATTTAAGCATTTTAAACTGATTATTTATTTTAAACATGATAAAAATGTTATTTGTAACATATACTTTTGACAATGTTTAAACTAGTGTGTGAGATATGTTTTATAGATAATAGAGCTTAGATCTTCACACAGAGATTTAAATTTTGCTGATCTACGTTTATATTTCATGATGTGAAAGTGCATTTAAAAAAAAAATAATTTGTCTTCATACACCAGACTATGAATCTTTTAACTTACAATTTGGGTAACTCCAACATGACTAAGTAAGTGCATGCAATGATGATTTTGTGTCCTATAACTGATTCAGTTAACTTTGACTCATGCGTCACACACAAGGAAGTATGACTTACAGTGACCATCAATAGTTTTCCCTACATCACTTGAATCATCATGTTAAACGATCACGCCATTTAATAACTAAATGTTTCAAAATATAGAGTCACTGGAATACCAATCCTCCATTTTAAAAAAAAGTTGGCACATCAGTAAGAAACAGTTAACACCACTCTAACAGAATCTGTACTCATTTGTTTTATCTTATCTGTATATTTGAAAATTAATATTCTTCAATTCTCTCTTGCAGTGAAAAATGCCACCAAATGTTGTGACCACCATGAAGCGAAAACTAGATGACTTCATTGACGATGAAGGAAGCTATGGCTCCCAGCGCCAGTCTGTCCTCAACATATCTATGTGCAAGCTGAAAATGGTTCCAAGGCGGCGAGTGGAACCATGTCTTCGACGTAGTGTCCTCATCTTAAACACATTGAAACACATCGAAACTGAGTTAGAGATGGAGGGTGTGTATTTCACCTCTCCTACTGACGCCACATTTAATCTCACCGATCCATCACATGGCAAGATTGATCTTGATCCCCTGCCAGAATGCAACTCAAACCCTTCTTTTCTGCAGCCATCATCTGTATCATTTTTGCCTCATGTTGCCACCGAAGGTCCACCCTCACCTATGCCAAAACCAGTTCAAGATGTAGAAAATATGGACACTAGTGCTAAAGACACATCAGGGAAAACTGTGTTAGACTTGGTGCCTTGTAAACTGGCAACAGCCGAAGTGTTGCCATGCACCCCCGTATCAAAACTGTCAGCTTCCAGAAGTTATATAGAAGATGCAAATAATAATCTGTTGCCATCATCATTTGCCAGTTTTGCATCCAACTCGTCTGCCTCATGGAGTGAAGACTTTAGTGATATAGACATAAGTGTGTGTGATGTCGATATCTACTCAATTTCATCTGCAATGAAACTTACACCTCTCAGTGCTGAGGAGGTGCTTCATTCCTTTCCAAATACTTCAGGACATGCCAGTGACAGTTACCCATCTTTCATAAACTCACAATGTGGCACTTCATTTAGGAACGAATCGGTGATGGACGATTTAGACAATATCATGCAGATTCTTGTTGGGATGTGATCGTCATGGTGTATGTTATATATGTACAAGTCACAGCATAACACAAAGACTTACAAGATACATGATATTTTTACATATTTTTACAGGGAGACTGTACTGACATGTGTCAGGTTAATTTATTGTGAACTTCTGTTTTGTCTGTGGTCATATGATGACTGATCATAGTAATGTACAATTTGGTTATTTATTGACAACTATCATGCTTTGATGCAAGGATATTGTAATAATAGCCACAGGACTTATCAAAGCACATCATTGGCCATGTTATCAATAATGTGCATTGGCCTGGAGACATCCAATTTGAGAAGGCGCCAGTTTTGCTCATATCAGTGGTTGTGATGGTCTCCATATTGAACCATGTGCAATCTTCCAGGCTTCATTAGTGTCAAAAACTTTTGATATGATTTTTATCAACAGTGGCCATATATTTTTGAGCATGGAAGTATAAAAACTTGAATTATGCAATGCATGAATTCTGTAATGCTAAAGGGAGATAATCGGGAAATTGGACTGGTTTCCTGGTTGGAATGAACTGACTTTGAACCAAATATGCATGGCAGTGGATGAAATGCAATTCACCAAATGGTGCTTATTGTTACAAACTATCACATTGTGGTATCATTTAAAAGAACAACTTAGTGCACAGGAGGAAAAATCTGGACAGAAACATTGAATATATTGTAGTGCATACCAATTACCATCGGATATGACAATTCCTATTTTCTCTATGGTAAAATAGTGTTGTATTATGCCATACTTTCTAGTGCTGATAATTGAATACAACTTTTGAAGGAATCAGTTTAATGGCAAAGTTATTGTGCATAAGGATTCAGCTATTGCTGATTTCAACCAACCAACCAACGTCACACATTTCAGTGTAGTGCACCTTTTTTATACCACTCAAATTGATAAGTTGTTGTTGATGAATAAGTCATCATGCTGAAATTGAAAGGTTATTTGGAGGATCTTTGAAATTTATGGCAATATTTTCATGTTTGATCTTCACATCCATACTGCATTACTTGTGATATGCCGGTTATAGGTGTTTCGTCATACATTACTCATGCCATTGCATTGTTTCACAACATGATGCAAAGCCCATTAAGTTCATATTGGTTTTAAGTTAATCATTAGAATTATTACCTTAGTCTCAGAGCAACAGTAGTGATGCCAAACAAATATGCTATGTGGACAGATCTAGTCAAATGTGTCTTTTTGGCACTTGTTTCACAATTTTGAAAATATTTTCAAAGGTGTATTTATATCCTTAGCATATGCATTTCATATAAATGATTGCTAGATTAGATACTCAAATTGCAACATAGCAAAGAAAGCAGAACTTCAAATTGATTAGTGTACTCATATTTGGGTTTGGGTTAACTTAATGCAAAAACTGCAGGTTCTTTTAGTGTTTTAAAGATTACTAAAATTTGCGTTTGAAATCACTCATATATTAAATATTCCCTAGTATTACTTATATTGTTAGTATATGCCAAGGGAAATATTGTCCATGGTAGTAACCACAGAATCGGAATGTTACCCAAGCAGAATGTTATTCTTCTCTCTGGCATGTCAACCTGTTAACTCTAGGCTATAAATGAAGGGTCAGTCTGACCTGGACTTTAGTTCTCAATGATTAGCATGCAAGCATCAACAGTTCATATTTTTCATCAGTTAAATATTTTACCAACCTGTGTATTTTATTCATGATTATTATATTCATATTCATTTATTACTCAGCCATTTCTTCCATCCTGAAGAGATAAGTCATTTTTGAGTAGGAACATACTGTCTGCAGATTTCTATAAAATCATTTTGTTGCTGTAATTTCTTAACTGGGCTGCTGTCGACTTCTCCACAACATTGGCCAAGGATTAAGTTGTTCGGTTGTTTAAATTTGTTTTCATAAATCTGAAAATGTGTATGTTGCAAACAGTATTGAATGGTCTGAAAATGAATGAAAAGAGAAACTGTATATTTTGTCAATAATACCTGTCAGATGGATATTTCACATTGATGAAAAGTTGAGAATATTTTTACCGATGTTAAAAGAATAACTTTTGGCAAATGGGTCCATGCTGTGTCAGACATGATAGTACTGGTGATAGTTCAGGCTTCCATAGAATCAGCTGAGGCAATGTCACTTGTTTTTTCATGCACAATAAAGAGTTTATTGCAAACAATACTTACATCCCAAGGATTGTTTAAAGAGAAATTAAAAGTTTCTTTCATAGCAATAAGTCAAGGAATGTATTTATTCCTTTGACAGGTTACATGAAGTCCTTGGGAAGTTCTACTTAGAGAAATAGCAAATACAGCTGTTACCATGGTATCACTATGTGTTAATATTGTTAATGTTGACATTTTGCAGTCATTACAGCTTCACATTGAACTATCTCATAATACCAGCTAACTGTTCTATATTGGCAGCAGAAATGATTTGAGCTCAAGATCTCAGTGGCAAAGTAGAGATTTTAGTATTGATACATTTGTGTGATACATAATAATTTATGTATTGCTTCAAGAAATTGAAATTAATATATTTGTGAAATGACTTTCTCGCCACATCTGTGATATATACTTGTATGTACATTTTCATAGCTTGTGCAGGAAGTTGAGTTGTAATTTAAAACAGTTGCCTATTTTGCTTGTAACACTGTATCTTGCCAAGATCACTCATGATTTTTATTTCTCATGTGATCTTTTACAGGTATATCATATTTATTTGAAGAACTATCAGTTTGAGAATATCAAATTATTTATTGTCAGCACTAACAGAATTTATTTATTCGCTTCAAAATACTAAACATGGCTCGGGGCACAAAACGACCAGTATTCCAAATGTTTTTTGTATGTGTTTTACCGTCCGCCGAGGTAAATAAAAACAAGTCAGAATATCTACAGAAGGTAACGTCAAATATTTCTCGTGGAAAATTGTCTTCAAACGGCAGCAAACTTTGTTGGCAAAAAGCTAAATCAGTTATGTTCATACCTTACGTACGTTATGACAAATAAGTTTTTTTTATGTGCTTGAAACCATCGACGAAACTTATTTTCCACGCCAGGGAAATATCTCGACGCTGGTACATAGCTGTTTGACCCGGTTAACGCAGGCTCGGCCGTCCCGATCACTGGAGGCGGGGCTAGGTCGCGTCGATCACGCTCAGCCTTCGTGACTTCGTCGTCATAGTTACTGGTACATAAACTGCCCAGGATGGCTGGAAAATGGGTCGATGTTTGCCGAGTGTAGGCCAAGGCTAGGGTTGGCTCAACTTATTGGTCGCCTCCGCTGTTGGGGCCACTAGCTTGAGCGCGCTGAAGCTAAACTCGCAGAAGATTTTGCAGAAATTAATTTTCTGAATCCTTTGATAAATTTTGCGTTCGTTTGCCATCGCAATATGATATTTCGATGTCAGAAATTTATGTTGGTTACAAATTCTATTCGGTTCGTTGTACTTTAAAAGCGTTCGCGGAAACTGAATAGGTCGTTTTTCTGTTTGTCAAAAGTTGGTTTTCTGTTGATAAAAGGAGATATTCTGTGTATATATTGCGTTGATTTCCTACTGTTCTCAAGGACATGGAAAATTGTTTTGTACAGACAGTGAAGGAAGATGCTTCACATGTTTTATGTTATTTATTACATGTTCATATGTTTATCATGGAAAACAAAGAATATTACCATACGTTGTTTTCACTTTTAATTCATAGTAGAGCATAGTATTATCTGAAATCCAAACGTTATATTTTAATACTGAATCATGTGTAAATATTCAACAATTATTTTATCAGTAGTTCTCAAGTCTTTCTCATACTTTCTACTCTTTGAATATATCTATCTTTGTAGAAGAAAGACATTTTCAAAATAAAACTTCAGATGTCAATAAGTACACATGTGTTGTGTTCTCTCTGGTTATCTATCTTCTCTCGCTCCTCTTCTACCAGTTTGTGAAATAATATGCCGATGTAGTTAGCATGCACGGACTCTTCTGAGATACACAACACGTTGAGTTGAATTGCTGACTTAGTATACACCAACTAAAAGCGTGGTGAGTAGTTCGTCTTCCACATGTATGTCTGGTTCGAAGCTACACACCCCTGACCATGCCTAAAAACACGATTCACTCATTCACCATCATTACAGGCACACAACAAGATAATGTTGAAAGGTTCACGCTTAATATCGAGATCGCATGCAATGCCACCTAGGGAATAACTGTTTATAACAAACTGCTCAAAACAAGTTCAAGAACACCCACAATTGGACGGCTGTGCGTTGCAATATCGACCAGCCATGATAGATGAACTTTAGTCATGAAAACAGTGGGTTTTTTAACTTCTAATGAGTAGTAGATAAACACTTTTGGTTTGGGCGTTTTTTATGTGTCAGTGATATCCTGTTTATGTATCAATATTTCAATTCCTGGTCATTTCGTCGATATTTCAATGGGTCAATAATAATCAATATCAAAAACATTGATTGAATTACATTAAACGCATAAATATATTCATATAGTTTTATCGTAATAGAGTAATTTCGCCAGCCACAAGATTAGCGCGTTCTTTAAATGTTTGAAGGAATTAAGTAATCGAAACATACAAGTTTGAAATGAGAGCCCAGACCGAGGTGTGAATTCGAAATGAGAGAAAAACTGGGTTTCCGGGAGCGGATTACATTGCCCCATTACACTGAATCCTGTCGGCTGATGTGGGGATTCTTGGTTCCAAATGGAGCCCGAATAGCGACAATATGGATCGGATGATTAGGCTCGGTGACATTCGTCCCCGCTCGGCCCTTTCCGTACCCCGCAAGAAGGACTCGACCCCTATCGATAAATGTTATGTGCGAAAATACGAAAAGCCAATCAGAATGCGCGTAATGATAGAGGTACTTTGATAAAAAAAAACCCACCCAATCCCAAGTACATAAATCAAATAGCCTTTCTTTATTTAAAATATCAGAAATATATTTCGACCTTGCAAATTACATGGATAACAGAAATGTATTTGTACGAATTATAGTTAATACAGGTAAGGCCATACACAGTGTAAGATTCAAATTCACACCCGTGCGTTTGTTTACAGTCAGATAACGGCTCAATTGACAGCGACATGTTTTCCCATTGAGTTTTATCTCTGACGACAAATTTAGCTTTCCTAACTTAATTTAGTTTATTATCCATTTTGATATGTGTTCGAAAATCGAAGTGAACTATTTTTAACAATAAAATAGCCACCAGTTTCAAAACAATATGATATTCATATATAGATAATTAACATTAATATTAAATACATTTTGTGTTTACAATTCAGGCCATTTGCAATGTTTTAAGATTTGTTTAGATACAACAAAGAAGCTTAGATAAAGACAATGACAAAACATAGCCTGGTCATTCAGGTCATTCATTAGTATTCACCTATTCATATTACATTTTCATGAGGGGTATGTCAGCTGGGGTAAGTTTGGACAACTGGACTAACATCTTGTACTCTAAATCGTTTACACGACACTCCGTGAACATTTCTATTTAAGATCCCTTTGAAAGCCATTCTATGACATCCTTTCCCTGTGTGTTGCCTATGGCATTCTTCCCCTAATGTTGAATTCGTGTGTGCAACACAAACTAAATAGACTCAACTATTTTAGACATCTAGAATTATTAGATAACAATACAAAATGCAGATATTCCACTGTCGTTTGTAAATGTGTACCCATATATTTATCAAACTCTCTCTATTTATGTAAAATTATCGTGTTTTACCACTTGCGTTAAGGCTGGCAATGTTTAATATTATTTACGAATCTATTTTACAAATTGTTAGAAATAAAAGCTACATGTATGAATGAAAAAATAATAATAATAATTACCACCAAAAGTTATTACAGTATTGATATGACTGAAACGCGTTAAACAACACTCAATTTATCCAGAATCATCGTAATAAGTTATGTTTTGTCGAGCTCACACTGAAAATATCACTCCACGCACACCGATGCATTGTTTACGTCATCGAGACGGCATTGTTGACGTCATTCGAATCTCATTGTGACTAAAGGTCTGAATAACGTCACTAGAAATACTTCAGAACTTATGTCCAAAACTCGTGTAAGAATTCATGTATTACCCTCGCTCTCGCTCGGGAAATGCAAGAATTCTGACACTCGTTTCGTAAAATCAGTATGACATACATGCAAGTGTAATAGAATTACATGTTATTCGGCAAAGTACGGGCCACTGTAACCTTCTTTCGCCTAACACCATTACCAACCACGTTGCCATATGACGTCATAGCTAGATTCTAATATGCATACTAACGTAAACAAACATGGCGTCTGACTGTAAGGAGAACAGCTATGTAGACTCGCCCTATTGACCGGCCATCCACGAGCCAACATGATATATGGGTCGATGATGCCCAGAGAAAAAAGTAGCGACTTGGATGAATAAACACACGTCAGATTGCAGATGGAGGGTAAAACGAACACTTAGGGGTTGCAACGTGATGCACTATTCTGATACTCTGAACTTCCTTGAGGCGCCAGTCTCACTCACTGCACTGTCAATCGTTTCCATATCAATTTAAAGTCAAGCATGTCCATCAAAACCGAAAATGTACTTTCACATTGCTCACAAAACTTTCTCTCTCCCATGCTGGACATGTCATCAAAGCCATAGTCGAATGACTATGAATAATCCATTGTTGACGTGTGTGTTGGCATGTGCGACGCTGACCTTTGTTGTGTCCTTTGTGTTCACAACAACAAATGCTGTTTATTTCATTGACTAAGTCTCTCCATTTCAGTTATGATAGGGCGGTCGGGTAGCCTAGTGGTTAAAGCGTTCGCTCGTCACGCCGAAGACCCGGGTTCGATTCCCGACATGGGTACAATGTGTGAAGCCCATTTCTGGTGTCCCCCCGCCGTGATATTGCTGGAATATTGCTAAAAGCGGCGTAAAACCATACTCACTCACTCACTCACTCAGTTATGATAACGTTGACGCTATTTGTTTTAACAGGGCAATATCACTTCAGCCGTCAGCCCGAAGCAATATATTAATGTATCTTGCGATATAGGAAAAAGAAACACAACCGCTTACAAAATATCCCTGGATAAGTAGGATGAATCAGTGAGCGAGGACGTTTTTATGCAACTATTTCCCGTCTTCAGCATTTTGTTCCAAATATCCTTTTCCAGGTCTGTCCAAAAATGGTTATTGACCCGCACGATGAAAATCAAGTCAAAATACCGTTCTGCGTACCAGGTACTCATATTTTATAAATTCTACTTCCAGGCCCGATACCCCCTAATTATCTGGACCCGTGAAGATTCCGGGGTAGAATAGGCCTTCAGCAACCCATGCTTGCCGTAAAAGGTGACTATGCTTGTCGTAAAAGGCGACTAACGGGATCGGGTGGTCAGGCTCGCTGACTTGGTGTCATCGATCCCAATTGCGTGGACCGATGCTCATGATATTAATCACTGGATTTTCTTGTCCAGGCTCGATTATTTACAGACTGCCGTCATATTGCTGGGATATTGCTGAGTGCGGCGTTAAACAACAAACCAACCAACCAACCTAATTATCTGTAACGGAACAAGCATGGGTATCACGAGAGTTTAGTGTTCCGCAACACAACAAGCATGAGCTAATGAATGATGGAATTGTATTTTTAAACGAGATTTTGAACTTTTCTCATATGCGGGCATATATAGCAGTTTAGGTTTACATGTTTGTGAATGTGTATATCGGTTTCACATCACATGTACTATTGCAATGGGACCCCACCCTCTATAAGAAATTCTCTATTTGAGCCAATCAATTAATATTTCCTGGAGTTTTTTAAAAGAAATAATGTGTACCTGAAAATGCTGCATAACGTTCTGTCCCCTCGGGTTGGACACGTACTACTCTATTACTAGACATGGTGGATGTTAGTCATAAAACTGGAATATTTCCGAGAGCGGCGTTTTAAACAACAAACAAACATAAACCACACTTCCATTTTCCCCTAAAAGGTATAAATTGTAGGTCACTTGAATTCACCCGTTAACTGAATACATGGTGTCCCTTCCCTCTTTTGACTAAACCACACAATGGTCAGTTTCAGAACATCAAACCCCTTTCATCTATCAAGTATCATTCTTAGGTTATTCTAACTACATAAACGTTTCCGTTTCGTGAACATTGAATACAACGCTATGACACATATCATTATGTACCCACTCTCAATGGACAATAAACGGTCATTGCTCACGAAGAATGATACTATTACTCCATACAATACGACATGTGTCCTTTAAACTGGCTATCACTGTCCCGCATTATAGTAAATTCTCAATAATTGCGATACTTGTTAACAAAACTTTCACCAACAATGAAAACACTTTCTGATTTAACCCTATAGTCAGCACTGTCAATAAGTACAGATTCATAAGAACAGTTTAACGGCAAAGGTATGACTGCGTGATGTGGCCTCAGTGCTTCAAAGGTTCGCTGTCAGGATGTCAGCTCGTGCGCCGTGGGAGTGGAGATCAGTCGGTGCAATCGACATCGTACACAATCAGACATGCGCACTATGTTTTGGCTCCGGCTCAATGAACTTGAGACTGAAAGCGTGTTTGTAAGTGGCGATACACATGCGTCGGTCTATTAATTTATGTTACTGATAATATAAACTACGAAATATTTATACTGACAAGATCGATATCTCCATATTTGACTATTTAGTATGAGCATCAGATTATACAAAATATGATACGTGATAAATGATACAATGATTTGATAACCGTTCATTTTTTCTGTGTACAACGTGTGTGGTATATTTTATTTTCATAACTTCAAAAAACATTGTCGAAGCAGTTTGTTACCTTCGGATTTAAAGTGTTATTGGTAATGTATCCTGACTGTCAAACATACGTCGTGTGAGTGATTCAAGTGAGAAATAAAGACGCAGATTTTGTGATGTGATTGCCTTCCATATGTAGGTGTAGCTCGGGGGTAGGTGAGTAGAGGTGGGAACGGCGCGGGTATGGGGTGCTAGGAGATGTTATTGACGCTACGATGGACGGGGTGTTATAAAACAGCACTTTGCAGTGTGTCAGATGTGTGGTTGTTGGGTCGTGGTTTGGGGGTAGAGTATGTTGTTGGTGTGATGGTAGATGTAGGGTCGTGGTTTGTAAATGGTGTGTTGTAACCGTGGGAGGTAATTGGTTGCAGGGTAGTGATTTGTGGATGGTTTATTGTAGGTGTGGGTGAGGGTGGTAGCAGGGTCTTGGTTTGGGCGTGGAGTCTGCTGAAGGTGTGATGGTGGATGTATGGTTGTGGATAGGGTATGCTAATTGTATAGGTGTGGGTGGTATTTGCAGGGTCGTGGTTTTGGGGTAGGGTCTTTTGTAGGTGTGGAAGGTATTTGCAGGGTCGTGGTTTTGGGGTAGGGTCTGTTGTAGGTGTGGGGTTGGTTGCAGGGTCGTGTTTTGGGGTAGGGTCTGTTGTAGGTGTGGGAGGTATGTGCAGGGTCGTGGTTTGGGGGTGGGGTCTGTTGTAGGTGTGGGGCTGGTTGCAGGGTCGTGGTTTGGGGTAGGGTCTGTTGTAGGTGTGGGGGGTATGTGCAGGGTCGTGGTTTGGGGGTAGGGTCTGTTGTAGGTGTGGGAGGTATATGCAGGGTCGTGGTTTGGGGGTAGGGTCTGTTGTAGGTGTGGGGCTGGTTGCAGGGTCGTGGTTTGGGGGTGGGGTCTGTTGTAGGTGTGGGGCTGGTTGCAGGGTCGTGGTTTGGGGGTAGGGTCTGTTGTAGGTGTCGGAGGTATGTGCAGGGTCGTGGTTTGGGGGTAGGGTCTGTTGTAGGTGTGGGGCTGGTTGCAGGGTCGTGGTTTGGGGTAGGGTCTGTTGTAGGTGTGGGGCTGGTTGCAGGGTCGTGGTTTGGGGGTAGGGTCTGTTGTAGGTGTGGGGGGTATGTGCAGGGTCGTGGTTCGGGGGTAGGGTCTGTTGTAGGTGTTGGGCTGGTTGCAGGGTCGTGGTTTGGGGGTAGGGTCTGTTGTAGGTGTCGGAGGTATGTGCAGGGTCGTGGTTTGGGGGTAGGGTCTGTTGTAGGTGTGGGAGGTATGTGCAGGGTCGTGGTTTGGGTGTAGGGTCTGTTGTAGGTGTGGAGTTGGTTGCAGGGTCGTGGTTTGGGGGTAGGGTCTGTTGTAGGTGTGGGAGGTATGTGCAGGGTCGTGGTTTTGGGGTAGGGTCTGTTGTAGGTGTTGGGCTGGTTTCAGGGTCGTGGTTTGGGGGTAGGGTCTGTTGAAGGAGTGGGGTTGGTTGCAGGGTCAAGGTTTGGGGGTAGGGTCTCTTGTAGGTGTGGGAGGTATGTGCAGGGTCGTGGTTCGGGGTAGGGTCTGTTGAGTCTGTAACGACGGGGAGGTGGGTGTGTAGTTGCTGTGTCGTGCCTTGCTGGTTGAGTCTGTAACGACGGGGAGGTGGGGGTGTAGTTGCTGTGCCGTGCCTTAGTGGTTGAGCCTGTAAGGACGGGGAGGTGTGTGTGTAGTTGCTGTGTCGTGCCTTGCTGGTTGAGTCTGTAACGACGGGGAGGTGTGTGTGTAGTTGCTGTGCCGTGCCTTAGTGGTTGAGCCTGTAAGGACGGGGAAGTGTGTGTGTAGTTGCTGTGTCGTGCCTTGCTGGCTGAGTCTGTAACGACGGGGAGGTGGGTGTGTAGTTGCTGTGTCGTGCCTTGCTGGTTGAGTCTGTAACGACGGGGAGGTGTGTGTGTAGTTGCTGTGTCATGCCTTGCTGGTTGAGTCTGTAACGACGGGAGGTGGGGGTGTAATTGCTGTGTCGTGCCTGCTGGTTGAGTCTGTAACGACGGGGAGGTGTGTGTGTAGTTGCTGTGTCGTGCCTGCTGGTTAACTCTGTAACGACGGGAGGTGGGGGTGTAATTGCTGTGTCGTGCCTGCTGGTTGAGTCTGTAACGACGGGAGGTGTGTGTGTAGTTGTTGTGTCGCGCCATGCTGGTTGAGTCTGTAACGACGGGGAGGTGGCTGTGTAGTTGCTGTGTCGTGTCTGCTGGTTGAGTCTGTAACGACGGGAAGGTGGGGATGGGGCTGGGTCGTTTTCTGTAGGGATAGGGTATGTTGTATGTCTGAATAAGTTGCAGAGATTGACTGTGTTTTTGTGTCGCCAGGCCCCCATGAAGGCTCAGAATCGGGATATTTTTCGAAATAAGAAGGACTAGCTGCAACTTACACCGACATATCTGAGTTGTATCCCATTCTCGGCTATGTTTCAGAGATTGGCACACGATACCATATGCATCATTTTGATAGTGTCTGTGTTGTGTCAAGTTTTTAATGCAGCCAACAAGCAAGTATATGTGAAGAGTGAGTCAGTACCGTGATGGCTTTGGAGCCACCGACTACGCACACCACGAACGCCCGTCGTCTTTCCCACTCGGCTGTCTATGATCGGCAGCTAAAAATACCTACCTACATACATACTGGCGGTTGCTCCACGCCGGCTAGCTCGACCTAGACACACGGTTTTTCTTGATATTTGCATGTTTTTAAAAAAATATTCCTGACTAGGTTAAATATGCTTTAGCAGTTCCAGTTTTGTCATGTATACATATGTTTTGTTCATCACATGGTTTATGCATCGAGAGTGGGCGACATACAAATACACCAAGGTCAAAACTACGTTTATAACGAACCGACGGATACAACGAACTGTTTTATCCCGTTCATTTACTGTATTTATACTGTACACATATGCTTATAACGAAATACGGTTATAACGAATTAAAATTAGTGGTCAGCTTGAGTTCGTTGTAACCGTAGTTTACTACGTACGAGTATAAAATGTGTAATACCCATGCTATTGAGTATAAATATCTCTTTTTACTTGTCCATTTTATTCCAATATAAGGGGAAAATATATTCCTGATTTATTTATCCAAATGTTGTGAAATTCCGACATTTGAAAAACTGTCTAGATAAAGTTACAACACAAAACATGACCTGTACATATACCACGCACTATTACATGGAACCAAGTGTTTAAATAATAGTTAGAATCGTGTACACTACTCTGTGCCATGTACTGATAGGCCTGTTGCCTGTGTTTGAATAAAGATTGACTGATTTGTGTATATTGTTATGCAAACATATGAATAAGTGGAGGATGTACGATCAAGAATGAACATGTATCTACTTGAGATTACGTTATGTCACTTGGCAATGTCAAGTAAAGATAAGATATATGGATGAACAACTTCTTTCTATCAAGTAGGAGCGACATTTCAGTGTAGGTACTAACACTGTTATCTGTTACTGATGTCATAGATTACAACTTTGTTGGTTTTTTCCAAATGTGTGAGTTAATTATTACTAACAACTCACGTGTCACGTTGTCGCGGCTGTTTGCGTTCACTTTCACTATCGTCGATTTAGCTAACACCTTGGAGTTCTTGCAAAATACCGTTATTTATCATTTTTGGGTTCATGCATACACTTTGCCTGTTGATTTTTAAATATTCACCTTGCAATGTCTAAGCATATTATTTATTAACTCTCGTCTCTGATCGGGTAAAGGTTAAGTGAAGGTAACTCTCAATCTGGTTGTTTTTAGGCGTTTTACATTCGTCACCACAGTAACCTACATAAGGCATTCGTCACCAAACGCATCGTTCCGTAACCTACATAAGGCATTCGTCACAACTCGCATCTTTCCGTAACCTACATAAGGCATTCGCCACCACTCGTATCTTTCCGTAACCTACACAAGGCATTCGTCACCACTCGTTTCTTTCCGTAACCTACATAAGGCATTCGTCACCACTCGCATCTTTCCGTAACCTACATAAGGCATTCGTCACCATTCGCATCTTTCCGTAACCTACTTAAGGCATTCGTCACACATCTTTCCGCACATAATGCATTCGCCACCACTCACATCTTTCCGTAACCTACATAAGGCATTCGTCACCACTCGTCTTTCCGTAACATAACTTTCGTCACCACTCGTCCCTTCCCGTAACCTGCAAGAATTCGGCTTGTCCCGGAATAACACGAGTTGGTCACGAATGGTAACATACAAGAAGGCCTCCATTCGGCTTGTCTAGTAAACGGGAGCGTAGAAAAGTGTTAACATTATAGCTAGTCAGTCTTCGTGGAACGTGCCAGGGTTGCCGCGTACAGACTATACAGGCGGATTCTAAAACAAAATAAAAATATAAAAACAATAGCAAACATAAAACCATGACAACGCCCAAACAACAAAAGCACAATACATGACAGAATGTGTGACCACATTGCCAACGTGTACCGCGGCATGTACTATAAGGTTATACAGCAAAAGAAGTACAACATTAAACTAATTAAAGGGTCTGGCAACACTCTTGCTTGGTATATACTTAGATGACATCTCCCTGTAAATCAAACGTGTACTGATATTTCCAATCTCTTTAAAATGTCTTTGATGAGATAGTAATATTTCATTTACTGGGTGTTAGAGCTAGATTCCAAGAAGAAATATATATAACATATAACCAGATTCGTGTAAGGGTCGTTAACTGGAAAGTACCAAGTATGATCAGTCCCTTCTTGGACCACTAATTGTGAGCAAAACCTTAAGAAATGTTCGTAAATGATATCAGATGTGTTCCAAATAAAACGCCACAATTTACGTAAAACCAGGCATAAATAATCTATGTAGGATAAAGGCTCATTTCTTGAATATTTACACGGAACTAATATACTATTTTTCAAATACCTGGATATGCAAATACATAAAAGTTAGCGTTAACTGTTTATCCCGGTAAAATTATTTTAACCGAATCTCTCTCCTTTTCCCCTTTGTTTCAATAGAGTCTGAAACGATGGTGAAAGCAAAGCGATGGTGGGTCGGGCTGGGTCGAGAACGAGGCTCGAGTCACTGGGCGACACGACTTGTAGACAAGTCAACATACCTATATATAGCATGGCCGTCGCGCTGAACATGGTGTGTTGGGGGAAAACATCACGAAGATGAAGGGCAGTGCAATATGACTTGATATGAATATCACGTCTCTGCAACATGTGCAATCACTGCACACTGTGGGTCCCGGATTCGGTCTGCATGCAATGAAAATGTTTCTTTTTGTTTCAATGGGTTTTTTATTTGTAAAATGTATTTTAAAGTCATTTTCTGATAAGTTGATTTTCGAAAAAATGAGGAGGAATAACCAGGGCTACTTGCGACCACGAGAACAGTCGTAAGTTACGTTAAGCAACTTTGACATTATTGCTATGGAAATTGGACATGTTTGTACGACTAAGAATGAGCAGAGAACATGTAATATAATCTATTATATGGTCTTTGGAATGAGCCATGGTTTACTTGTGGCTACTTGTGGCATTATGAGTGAACGAGTGAGTTGGGTTTACCGCCGCTTTAAACAGTATTCCAGTTATATCACGGCGTGTGGGAGGAAAGCCCGAAAGTGATGCAGGTCTCAGACGTTTACCACTTCGGTGAAACCCACGAGCACGGTTATGTACAGGGATATGGCTATAGTAAGTGAAAACGACTGAATTTTCGAAATGCAATGGGTATCTAACTATGGGTACGTCCGTTACAACGTTTAACTATTTTCTAACACGAGATAGAACTAGTAAACCAAAAAGGGCCTTCAGGGAACAAAGAAAACCTTATTATCATCTTTCCAGTTAAAGATTCTTACACGAATTCTTCTTTTTAAACTGACTATAGTGTTTGCTTTGTCTTCGTTGTGTACACAGTGTCGTTGATTCTTGTTTTTAAACAGATCGTTTAACAGTTTGACATCATGAGCATCGATCCACGCAATTTGGATACGATGACATGCATCAACCAAGTCAGCGAGCCTGACCACCCGATCCCGTCAGTCGCCTCTTACGACAAGCATAGTGGCTTTTTACGGCAAGCATGGGTTGCTGAAGATCTATTCTACCCCGGATCTTCACAAGGTCCGGATTATACTAGTGAGTGAGTGAGTTAGATTGGGTTTACGCCGCTTTTAGCAATATTCCAGCATTATCACGGCGGGGGACACCAGAAATGGGCTCCACGCATTGTAGATTATACTAGTGAGTTTGGTATAACGCCGCATTGCAGTTTTATCACCCGATGTGGGAGAAAAGCCCGAAGTGACTGAAGTCTCAGACGTTTACTAAACATAGTAAAACTCACGATCACGGGTATGATGCTGGCACACAGAAATGTAATCAGGGTGAACCGGGATTCGAACCATCGACCATCGCGATATCAGCTCATATAGGTCTGTGAATATCTACCTGTTCTTATAAGCATGACTGTGGTCAGATCCACAAAGCGTTTGAAGCCAAAGCCACGGACATCAATATTTACAGTACAAATATTAAAATATTAAAATAAATATACATGGAACCAACTGTGCATTGGTTGGCTGATTGATTGCCATCGTGTCCAACTGGTCTGCCTGTACTAGTCAGGCCTTATGTCTGTTTTATATTGCTGTAGCCCACTGAGATACCACGGTGCAGTCTAACATGGATATTCCACTCAGACACAGTATACTTATGCCGACAAGTCATTGTTTCATCTGACCCATGAAGATCCGGGTTAGAATTGGTCTTCAGCAACCAATGCTTCTCGTAAGAGACGACTAACTGGACTGTCTGGTCCAGATTCGATTATTCACAGACATATCGCTGGAATATTGTCGAAGGTGGCGTTAAACAACAAACAGTCATTGTTTTATTCCCCCAATGACAAGCGGCAGGCAGGGAAACAGCAACATCTTTTAACATCGAACAATTGTCCTTCCGCTCTCCGGGCAGACGCTCTATCCACTAGACCACGGGGATAAAACCCAATAGCACAGGCCTGTTGCAAATAAACAATGGATCATAATCAGGACCTGGTTCATCCAAGGGACGCAACTCTGAACAACAAATAGTGGCGCCTCAGACGGATATATAGACCATCTGTGCCCCCGGCCCTTTGTAGAGAGGAAGGGAATGGGAGGACGGACGGGGCAGTTGTGTGATGGTCGCCTGAAATCGACCTTCAGTTCATTAGCTGGTAGTCATGGCACCATTTTCAGATCTTCTTTTGTCTTATTGATTTTAACGTTCGTGATCTGAATTTCTGCAGAGGGTGTAAAAGAGGAATCTCATTGCACATACACTTTGAAA